CCCTCTTTCTTTTCAGCTTCTAATTTCATCGTGCAGTCGCTGAGCATAGCGAGAATATTTAAGCAAAAGTTGTTTTCGTGAAACCCTAACAGTCATTAGTAAAATCAAAGCAGACGCCTTATGGCCAGAGACATATGCACAATCATCCAAACTCCGTGATCAATTTGTGTGTCTAGTTTATCACATTAACCAATCACTTTTACCTGTACCCTCCTGCTTTTCAGCTTCTAAGTGCAGTCGCTCGAGCATAGCGAGAATACTTAAGCAAAAGTTGTTTTCATGAAACCCTAACAGTCATTAGTAAAATCAAAGTAGACGCCTTATGGCCAGGGACATATGCACAATCATCCAAACTCCGTGATCAATTTGTGTGTCTAGTTTATCACATTAACCAATCACTTTTACCTGTACCCTCTTTCTTTTCAGCTTCTAATTTCATCGTGCAGTCACTGAGCATAGCGAGAATATTTAAGCAAAAGTTGTTTTCGTGAAACCCTAACAGTCATTAGTAAAATCAAAGCAGACGCCTTATGGCCAGAGACATATGCACAACCATCCAAACTCCGTGATCAATTTGTGTGTCTAGTTTATCACATTAAAAAATCACTTTTACCTGTACCCTCCTTCTTTTCAGCTTCTAATTTCTTTATCTTATCGAATAGGAACTGTTTTTCTTCCTTTGTTTTGTTAAGTTCCTCAATTGCACCAAGGCGTTGATTGTTTAAGTATAGTATGTCTGCATAAAATAAGAAAAAAATACACCCAAAATTACCAAACATTCTTTCACAAAAACCACAAGTATGAATGAGGTGAAAGAAAGAACTAACTCTGCTGAGCTTCTCTGAACAATTGCCAAATGTTATCTTGTTTCACATTCTTTTCATCATCAGATAATGACTAAATTAAAAAGGAGATAAAAAAACAACAAAGAATTGTTAGCACCTAGCAGAATTCGAACCTGGAGAGAATCACACTCTCAGTCCCAAGCCTTTACCAATAGGTTCGAACTCAAATAACTCAAATACTCTGATCAAATTCATTTCGATTTTAAAACACACAATATTTGAAACAAAATCAAACATACCTTGGACAAGTCCTCATTTTTATTACTCTCTAACCTAAATTACAAAATCATAGAATAATTGAAACTTAGCCTAATGTGTGAACAAGCTAATACACATGATTAAAACAAAAAAGAAGGTTTTTACCTTTGTTCATGTAAGCTATTATTAACATCTCCATTATTCCTGAAAACACATTTTATTCAAAATGAAACAAGAAGAGTAAGTTAAATTATGCTTGAATGTATAGATCAAGAACTGATTAGAAGAGAGGGATGAGAGTGTGACCTGAAAGAAGAAGGAGGAGGAAGTGAAATGGGTTTTGGAAGAAAAGATGAAGGAATTCCCAAAATTGGCATGATTGAGTTGAACCATGCCGCCATAATTTTGATTAACTTGCTCAACTGATTTAAGCTATGTTAATATCATAGTGGTGATGAATGATGATACTTCATTTGGAAACTTGTATGTACACAACACGTGTCAAATCAAATTCAAATGTTACTAGAAGATTGGTTAATGGTATAATAAAATTCAGAGTTGAAATCACTAGAAATTTTGGTATCCATATCTTCTATGAAATGTATATAATTATGAATTGGATTGACGACACGTTCCAATTCTTTTTGTTTGAAAGCATGTTATTTTAAAAAATAGGTAAAAATAATTATTATTATAAAAATAAGATTAAAAAAAATGGTTAATTGCATAAAATTTCTCTTTCGTCAAGTCCGAATAATAAAATTCAGACGCATCCTATAGGTTTATTTAGATAATACTATCGCAACAAATTTTTGATTTAATTAATGATCATATTTAAATTAAAAAGCAACGTGGTGCTTAAAACCGTGTTCACATTTAAACAAGTATATTTACCATTTTTTTAGTGTTTGTATTTGGACAAATTTAGACAACGTATTTTGTATTTATATGTTTTTTCAAATAATAATATCCTGACGAAAAAAGAGGTAATTTTTAAAATTTATAATGTTTATTATTTTAAATTTGTCAAATGTTTAATAAAATCGGCTCAATTATGTGATAGAAAATAATATTTTTATTGTAATTATATTTGTAATTATTTATAAAAAAAAATATTCTATTTTACCAAATTGAGATACATATGGACCATTATTCCTGAGTATCACATAGAAGCATCGCCTCCTTTTTCGTCTCAATTGTTGATCCATTTCTAATAGTCATCTACACTCCATGTCGGATCTATCAAGAATAATTCTAATTGTTTCTTTTATTTAAGTGTGACTATGAGTCACGTCCAAATATTCATTTACACACGTTTGTGTAGTTATATCTCATCAAACAATAATTTGAGAGCTGAAATGTTAACTTTGCAGTGGTCTCTCTTTAATCACCGGATACCACAACCATCTTACATGAAGCCTCCCGACGGTGGTCAACTTCAAAATGTTATCTACTATGTTCCAATATGTAATAGTTGCACTGTCTGTGATAACTGTCATTTGATTCTCTTAAATTCTTCTTCATTAAATTTTTTTAGTTTACACCATTGCACCGTTGTAACCATCTTCTCGTTACCGCTGCAATAATAGAAATTACTTCATAACTAGTCTTTTTGCTACCTTCCTTAATGTTCATATCGAGAAGAATTATATGTGTAGTATGATAACAATGTTCGATCAACTGTAAATATTCCTCAAGATAACGATGCACCAATAATCTCTCCTAATGATGAAGAACTTCTTCAATAACAAGATCTCCAAACCTTTATGGTGATTTCACACTAATTAGGTTAAAAAAATCATGCAATTTCATTATTCCAGCTTCATCATTCATTTTCTCTTTTTAGTTTTCTAATTCCACCACTATATCATCTAATGCCTCCTTCTCAACATCAACTACGTCCTCCTCGTCGTTAGGTGTTGCCGTTGTAACATAACCCTCAACAAACTCTAGAAAGAGGTTAGCAACAAACTCTAGAAAGAGGTTAGCAGGAGACTAACATCTAACTTCTAAAAATGTAGGAGTGGGAAGGGATAATAGGGCACCCTTCAAACTTGTGGATTTTTTTTTCCGCCAGAAACTGGTAGAGTGCTCCAATCGAAAGAAACCCATATTCTTAAATGTTAAATAATATTTTTCCCTCTTGGACGAAAGCAGGTTTGTGGGCTAAGATACCATGGATGGACCCATGTGTAATCTTCCTCTGCAATAGCCGCCATCAAACTACTTGATCAAGGAAGGACTTAGGTTCACAAAACGAATTAGAGTGATATGATAAAAATAGACAAGTACGAGGTAACGAGAGAAAAGAAAAAAATTTGAAGAATGAGGCCTAAACTCTTGAAGAAAAGCGCTAGGCAAGGATCAACACTTCATATCGAATAATAAAAGGAAAATCTCTTTAGACCCGACCAGCGGTTCATATCGATCAGCAGTTCTCGGAAATAACTGTTCTGAATCAGTTATATCTCTCTAAACCCGACCACCATGAAATAGAACACTTCGGACCGAAATATATCAACTTGTTGCAGGTTGTGCTTCTAGAACCATCATTTAACTCGTGGACTGTCATATATGTCGTTACAGGAAATTTACGCCTCAAGTACATGCAACGGTCCTCCATTTTCCACGTCTGAAAGATAGTGAGAGTGTTGACGCCATTTCAGGTAAATAATCTCAAACACAATTTAAATACTCTCTACTTTTTCACATATTCACTTAAACGTGAGAGTGTTAACCTTACAAATACACTCCACTCTATGCCTGAAAAATAGAGAAATCGTTGACGCTATTTCAAATAACAAGTTTCAAATATAATTTGAATACTCTCTACTATTTCACATACTAACTTAAACTCGAGAGTGTTAACCTTACAAATGCACTCCGCTTTGTCGCATCACTCTTGAGAGTCTTAACGTTACAAATACGCCTCGCTCTGTCGCATCACCGGTAGCTTCCACATTTATATTATTTTACAAAACAGACAATTGATATCTTTGATATACTTCATCTATTGCTTAATGCTCTAAAAATATTTTTTTTTATAAAAAGAAACTTGTGTCATCTTTTGTCACTTTATATTCTAGACCTTTTATTATATAAAAAAAGACAATTATAAAAAAGAAAAGACAGTTTACTGAATTGAAAAAATACAAAAACATTAGAATGATATAATAAAGGATTTTTTTTCAACTTAACTAAAAGTTCCAATATTTCGTCCATTGTAGTTCTCCATGCTTGCATGGAATACTTAACTTATAATAAATATTACCAACACATTTTAATATGAAATAATATGCTGAGAAGATGATTGTGTAAAAGAAGTTATAATTTTTCGTATTCATTAAAAACTATTTTTGTTATTATGCAGGTGCAAAACTATAAACTACTTATAATTAATAAGGAATAATAGTAGGTAGTGTGCGTTACATAACCATATACTATACATAACAAATTGAAAGTAGAGTGAGTTCATTAAATTGCAACATGCCTTGTCTGACTTGATATCAAGGTAGTTTTGAAAAAAAAATCCAGTCACTGATATCAAACAGACAAAATGAGAGACGGATAAATATTTCATGCATGCTCATGACCAGCCTAAATTCATCTTCATTAAACTCAGGTGGTGACCAACCTAAATCCATCTTTATTAAACTCAAAATCATCTCATTTCTAAACAATTTAACAAATAAAAATTATGGTTGGAGGCCAAATCTATCAAAACTTACCCCAGTATTTGCCCCCTTGTAAAAATAAAAAAATTGCAATCATTCTATGATTAGCATTATTACAAATTACAAAATATAATACAAACTTGATTGGCAAAACACCACTTGCTTTTACATCATCGTTATTGCCAATTTGTTTGTTGCCCCAATTTAATTTTCACCACCATTGGACCGAGTTCGGCAATTCAGATTTCATCATAATCACACCGATGATTTGATTTTCATGTGACTACTCTCCAACCCTACGCTTCTTTAACATCATCTTTCGTTTTCGGGCTCTTTCTTCTTCCTCCTGTATCAACCTAAGTTGCTCCTCATCCTCCTTTTTAGCAATTAAAGAACTGCAAGACACAATCATCATCATAAGAAAATATAATATTTTTGTTTATTGGTAAAATATTGCATACGTCTCAACAATTTTTAGCAAATATTTTACTTGTCTACAAACATGTTACATTGTTTTAGATTAATGTATATTTTGAAAAATTAAATATAGACAATTAAAGTCAATATTTTAATTTTAAAATTAAAAATTTTAAAAAACAAAGTGATAATTTACATTAGTAAAAGCAAAAATAAAGAGCACACTCTAAAACCAAACAAATACATCCTAGATAATGAAAATACAAGTAAAGGACATCATCACCAATGACTTCAGGAAAATGAAAGAAGTCTTACACAGCAGCTTTTGAGTATGAAGCTTCAGAGAGTAATTGCTACTAACACGCTTTCTAATGCTATCTTTTGTTCACTAGAAAAAGTGTACTGAAAAGCTAGCACTCCTTTTTACCTAGATCTAAACAAAGAAAGTGTGGAATGTACTCTGTTTCCCTATGCATTAACTGCTTAGCAAGATTATATATATATATATATATATATATATATATATATATATATATATATATATATATATATATATATATATATATATATATATATATATCCACTAGTAAGCCTTTATAACTTACTCCACAATCATAGCCTTTAAATTAGATTTAATCGAATCGTTATAAGTAAAAATGTTAATTTAACGACTAGATTAGATTCAATTTAAAGACTATGATGGGGAGTTCAATTTAAAGGCTATGATTGAGAGTAAGTTAAAAAAACTTACTCTCGGAATAAGTTTATCCTCAATATATATATATATATATCGCAGTTTTTGGGGTGGTAAATATCAAACGATATTATGGGTTTTTCCGTCGTAATGTTATAAACAGCACCGCAATGCAATGAGAGAAAGGTTTTTATTCTTTATTATCAGGTAAATTTCGTGTTCTAAATAAAAAAGCAAAAATAAGATTGAAGAACTAGATAAATATATTAGATTAAGCTTTAGAGAAACCAACCTCCTCTTTTCCTCTTTCACAATTTCATCAAAGCCCGCCTCCATATCATCGACATCGTCATCATCGACAAATCTGCTGGGGTTGTAACTGCGAACAATCCAACAAAAGTACAAATATGAAGTAAAAGAAATATATGTATTAAGAGGAAGACTTCGGTTATTAAAACAAGTCTCACCCACTTGAAACTTTTCAATTATCAGTACACTACAAAAGTACAAATATGAAGTAAAAGAAATATATGTATTAAGAGGAAGACTTCGGTTATTAAAACAAGTCTCACCCACTTGAAACTTTTCAATTATCAGTACACTACACAAAAATCAAGCACCAACCCGTCTCACCCATTTGAAACTTTTCAATTATCAGTACACTACACAAAAAATCAAGCACCAACCCAAGTCTCACCCATTTGAAACTTTTCAATTATCAGTACACTACACAAAAATCAAGCACCAATGCTAGAAAAAGGGAAACTTAAATCATAGAAAACTTACTTAAACATCGATCTGATCATTTTGCTAACATCCGCTTCATCCTCAGGCTCATCAAGGCGTCGTTTCCCAAGTTTACTCTTGGGGCGCTGATCATGCAAACCAGGACGCTTAGGAATTTGTTTAAGTGGTGGTTTGCTGACCTGTCGAGCAATTGAATAAAAAAAGTAATAAGGAGCAGTGAATCAAATTTATAGAACCCATAATGTGTGTGTGCATATGTGCTTCGCTGTATACCTGAGGTCTTGATGACGCTACCGGTGGTCGCGGTGGTGGTCGCGGTAATATTTTGTGTTTATGCGGTTCTCGTAAATCTTTTCTTTGGTCCATACTATGATGCTTTGGAGCAGATGACAAAACCTTTGACGAAGGTTGCTTCTGCACACCATTCACAGGATTTCTCATGCCAGGTTTGACTGATTTACTCCCCATGGTATTAACAGGCATCTTTGAAGGCATGCCTTTTGACCCCACTGGCCGGCCTGGCCCATTCCCATTGTTGCTACCAAGCTGTCTTCTAGAATCTACTGATGCCTTACTGGCCTGGCTGGAAGAACTTAACTTATAATTGGATTGCGGTTTAGGAGCCAAGTGACTAGCCCCTGCAACAGGTCTCCGATTATCACCAGTACTACGAGCGAGTTTGCCACCATTGCTCAAAGAATGATTACTCCTTCCTGGAACTTGAGCTGCTTGTCCCACTTTAACATCAGCAAAAACCCTGTATAAGTTTCCTTAATCACAGTAAAATACGTTCAAACTCCCACAAGTAAACACAACACATCCAAACAACAACATACCTGAACTGCGCACAGATGTATTCCTAGATGGAGGCTCTTTTGATGGACCAGGAATATCCGCATCATCAGACAAAAGAAATGAGTAATCTCTAGTAACCTTGAGTTTCTCAGCTTTAACTAGCTTCTGCTTAACCGTAACAGTTCATCATATTAGAAGATAATGACTAGAGAGTTACAAAAGATAGATGCAGCTACAATACCTCATTGACTCTGTGTGGCTGCTGATGAGCTGAAGACTTTGATACACCATTAGAACCCTTATTTGTACTTTTATTCTGTAGACGGGAGTAATATGAGAAAGTTGCATAAGTACTGGATAGCAAAAACAAGCAATGGGAATTGCATATCCCAAATAATGGGTGCACAGTATTGAGAAAAAAATAAACAAACATCAATTAGAATAATGCTATAAAATACAAGATTAGCCACACAAGAAAGGGAGGAAGTATAACAACTTTGTTATTCAATCAGTGTGAGATTATATATACATTCATTAGATAGAAAAATAGTTTCCACTTTAGTTGGTGTAAGATTATGTATACACCAGTGTTGTCGATGGCGGATAGCCAAAATCCCACCATACCGGCCGCTTTTCAACTCTGTTATTGCAGATTATAACAGAAAAACCCGCAATATCGGTCGGTATTTACCATTTTGGCGAGCCCAAAGACCGCCATGGTACCACTATTTGATAACACTGGTACACACTGAATAAACTCGGACACTAATAAATATAAATATATATATTATAATTAAATAAAATTTGGACATGATTTGTAAAATATCTAAATTGAAAATGAAAATTTATATATGCATCTAAATTGAGAATTTTTTTTGTAAAACAAGATGTGCGTGTGTCTGAAGTGTGCCCAGTGTGCGCCGAGGTAAAGGAAAAAGAGTTTCATAAGGACTCTTCTGAGTTATCAGATACATGTCATAAGGGTGTTATACGAGTAACTCGTGTCCACCACCTGGACATGCCTAATCTGAGACGTTTTCATGCTACATAGCCCATACATTTAATTTACCATACAAGATAACATTTAAAAAGTTCCATGGTGTAAAGTAATCATAACTCGAATGAGGATTGACAAAATCACAAGGGACTGGATAAAACAATATTAAAAGGTACGCAGAAAAGAAAAGGTGTTGAATACGTACAATTTGATGTGAGTTAGAAGGCTTGGGGACCAAATGCCGATTTTCTAACAAGGACTTGCTCTCTTGGATTACTCGCTGGGCAATAACCGGTTGAGATGGGCCAAAAAAGGAACCGTAACTGCAGCAACAAATGACAATTGAAAACAAATATTTCAAAATTATTCCTCTTGGCATATTTCACATATTGTTTGTGCTATGCAAGAACAAATCATATCAATGAAGAGCACAAAACAAGCAGTGTTAATAGTTGCAGAAGCAAGACAGTAAAGAAAAGTTTAGCTTCAAAATTCCGATTACCATGATTATAATAAACATGTGTACACAGCCATGACAAATTTAAAAATACAATCTCAGTTAAAACAATAAAAAATGAATATAGAGAAAGCATGCAAAGTATAATTAGATTTAGAGAAAGCATGCGAAGTGTAATTAGATACAGAGAAAGCACACGATGGATAAGTAGATATAGAGAAAGGAAGCCTCCAATATATTCCTGAAACAATTGACATCATAGAAAATTGCCTAGCAAAAAAATTAACATTGTAAATTCACTGCTGCCGTGCCCCTAAGGTAATGCATTGGGTGGTAGGGTTTGTCCAAATCCCAGTGCACCACCAGGGAACTACGGAAAAATTCTTGGGGTTCATCGTGATTCTGCCAAATTCACCATGGTATGAAACATGCACTTGCTAACAGAAGGCGAAAATAAAATTGCATTTGGTGGACTCGTAAATCATATACCTATTCTCTGATTATTTTTGGGTTTAGTTTCATCAAAATATTCATGTTAAAAATACTTCAAGCTAATAATATTGCTATATGCATACAGTTATAAATAATCGCAATACTCACTTATCATAATGAACTTGCTTTCTTCTACCACTGGATTCTGCAAGAGAAATACTATTCTCCTTCTTCATCTTTTTTCTAATTGATTCTTTCAACTTCTTCCTCAACTCAAGATATTCCAGTTCTTCCGGAGTAGGCTTCCGAGGTTCTTCCACCACATATTCTTCACCTTCTTCATCTTCATATCCCTCCCCTTCCTCCAGTTCTTCATCTTCATAATCATCGTAATCCTCATATTCCTGAAGACAGAAACCAAATTCAATTCAGAAACAAACAATGTTAAAAAAAAAAAAAAAACAAGAATAGTAATTTGAATATCAAGTTTTCAATCCTTGAAGATGAGAATGCTTACATCTCCCTCATAGCCCCCTCGCATTGAGGTTCCAATCATAACTAGAGAATCAAATCAACTGTTACAAATAGTCAGGAATTCAATCAAAATCCAATTTAATCAAAACTATCAACGCAATTATCTTAATTCAAACCTGAATTTCTCAGCCACAGTAACTAACAGTGTTAAAAAAACTGAATCACACAAAAACACCCAGAAACAAAAAGTACGAACACTATCTGAAAAGTACTAAAATTAGGGTTTTTTCAATCTCCGCCTAATTTTCCCCTAAATTGCTACACACACAAAGATGATCACCGTACAAAATCGAAACCTCTCATAACAAGAATCAATGGAAAAAAAACAAGAATACGATCAAGGAAACCGAATCCAGTTGGAATTTGGGGGAAATCGAAAAAAAATCGAAAAAAGCGATAAAATGACACAAATTGAAACGATAGATGACGGAGAAGCGTTAGAGGGAGAAGAGAGAGAATCGAAATTGAGGAAGAGAGTACCTGAATTGACGAACGGTGAAGTGAAATCAGCAACGGTAGAATGAAATCGTGGATTAGGGCAGAAAGCTAAAAAGGGGGAGAAAACTGGGAAGGGGGAAGTGATTTTATAATTTTGTTTATTCCAGAATTTTCCATAGACCCTCTTCCCCCCTCAAAGATTTTAATCACAAATCCGACAAAATTATAATAATTCATACAAGTGTACTTGGGCCTTATCCAGCCCAATGTAAGACAACTATAATGGTCAAAACGTTATATTTTTAAAATTAACTATTAATAACCTTTTTAATTATATTTTGTATTATAAAAGGAAAAGATAGTTGATGCAATAAAAGTGTAAATTACATTTACATTATCAATGATTATATATTTTATTAAATCGCGTTTATATTTTAATTTATCTTAATAATATGATAAAATATTATTTTTTTATTAAATGATAATGTAAAATTATTTTGTTCTATAAAATAATTTTTATATATTCATTAAACTCTTATAAAATAGATTGATAATTTGCTAGGCAAGATCAATAATTATAATTATAAAAAAGTAAATCTAAACTCAAATTTTTTATTCAAAAAAATATTTATGTTAACTTTAATTGGTATTATACTTATTTACTCATATTTTTTAAATTTAAAAATTAATTTTAACATTCTATAATATAAATATATATTATTGAAGATCTAAGACATAATTGAAATTACAATTTTTTTCAAATTATATTTTAAAAATATTTTTTATAAAAATCTATTTAAAATAGTTTGAAAATTAAGTGATTTTTTAAAATTTTGATATCAAAAAATATTCAATAAAATAATAAAATAGTTAAAATAAATATTTAAACCAAATTAATATTTGAAATTTCTATTAAAAAGATATTTATAATTTCTTTTAAACAGACATATATAACATTATAAAAATTATTTTTAGAAAAAACTGAAACATGTCAATGTATGATAAAGTTTTAGATGTAAATTAATGGTTAGAGAATTAAAAGTATAAACCATTGTATTAAACCTTTTTCTTTATTCGCTCAATTAAGAAATACAAGTGATTCGCTTCACTTTTTGTAAATCTTCATTAATACTAATATAATTGTTCATTGAATAACATTTTAAAATGATATTATCAAAATTAATAAAAGGATAAATTTAATAAATTAAAATATTATTAATAATTATTTTACAACAGTCTCATATAAGATTCAAAGCCTATACTTTTTTTATATGCTTCAAAGCCAATACTTAACTCTTGCTACTGAATAAGTATTTCAAATTTCATATTTTTATATTAAATAAAATAATAGACTAAAATATATTTTTTATTTTGTTTTAAATTAACTTTTAATTTTTTTAAATATAAATTTAATTGAAATACATTGGCATTTTAAAAAAATTTTACACTCTCAATTAATCATACACGTTAGATGTTGGAAGAGATTTGACTTTTATTAACCACCAAAAAATTAATGCAATCGGGTGATGATGATGAATTGGCAATGTAAAATTTTTTACACTTACATTGTAAAAGAATTTTACACTCTCAGAGAATCATACACGTTAGATGTTGGAAGGTGTTTGACTTTTATTTTAACCACCAAAAAAGTAATGCAAACGGATGATGGTGATGAATTGATAATATAAAACTTTTTACACTAATAATGAAAATTTAATAACTTTTACGATGGACTTAACATCTAATTTGTCTATCTCTATTTAATTATTAATATAAAAGGTTCAAAACAACCATGTGACATGCCACGCCACCATATTTGTCTCATTATCATGACATGTGGTTTGCCATGTTATTCTTCATCAACAGACGTTAGCTGGGGGGACCATTAGCGTAGATAGAAAACTTTACGAAAATCATTATTTGAAGAAAAAAATTTCATGGACTAAAAGTGAAATTTGGTGTATTTTAGGGGGCCACAAACTCATTTTATCCTTCAAAAAGGAAATTTGTATCAAAGGTCGCATGAGTTATTTAGACGATTTATCTAGTGAATTCATACTAGAAGATTGACACCCATTATTGGTGGAGAAATAAACATAATAAGGAAATAAACATACTAGAAGATTGACACTCATCTTGTTACAAAGCAATGATGATGACGAGTAAAGTTAGGAACTTACTTGATTAACAAGAAAAGCTTTATGCTAAGAAGCCGCAGTGCTCACATAAGAAAACTTTTAAGCAATATGGAAACTATTTTCTAATAATCTCATAGAGATTTATCTTTAGATTAGTTTTTGTATTAGGAAGCAATGAGTTGTTGCTCAATACTTGTCATGTACTTAATTAGGAGTAATCTGCTTGATAAGAAGCACTCATGTAATCTCCGACAACACAAATTCTTTTTAGAATTAGTGGTTCCTCAAGTGATCTTGTGAAGATCAGAATACTTGAGATGACAAGTGACAGTTGTCATTGGTGGAATTCTAATAGGATATCTTTTGTGATCGGATTCTATTAGATGTCAATGAACGTTATATCCTAAGGGATCCCTGAACGCTTCATTGCCTATTTGTTAGTCACCTGCAGTTAGCCTGTGCAACTGTAATCAGTTTGGTTATAGTGGATTAAGTCCTTGCTTGAGTGAGGCGAAATCACCTTGGAAGGGTGGATTGGATTAGCTTGAGAGTTGCTCAAGTGAACCAGGATATATCATGTGTTCTTTACTTGTGTTATGCTTTATTATATATGCTTCCGCAACCCCCCCCCCCCTCCTTCCTTGTGTATTTCTCACACCTTCAACCATTAGCGTAGATAGAAAACTTTACGAAAATCATTATTTGAAGAAAAAATTTTGATGGACTAAAAGTGAAATTTGGTGTATTTTAGGGGGCCACAAACTCATTTTATCCTTCAAAAAGGAAAATTGTATCAAAGGTCGCATGAGTTATTTAGACGATTTATCTAGTGAATTCATACTAGAAGATTGACACCCATTATTGGTGGGGAAATAAACATAATAAGGATAAAATTCATTGGAATAGTTGGAATAAAATATGTCAGGGTAATGTTGGATGAGCCCTAGGTTTTAGAAGGATGGAAATTTTTAGTGATACACGTCTAGCCAAATAAGTGTGGCTATAATGATCAACAAGGAGTCTTTTGTCTCTGTATGTCTTCAAGTTAAGTGTTTCACATCATCTATCATACATTAAGCTCTGGGAAATCCTAAAGATAATTTCATTTGAAAAAGTTTGCTCAAGTTAAACACAATCTTCTACAAGGTTGTTGTTGGAAAGTAGGAAATGAAAAAACCATTAACGTGTGGGATGATCCTGAAGTAGATAGAAATGTCACTAGAAGGAGAGAGTTGATAGTGACCACTTCAAAATCTTTCTTTTAATTTATGAAACAAGCTTTATCAAAATAAAATATAAATATAATCAATGATTAAAGTGTTTATAGTTGTGAGTTGTGTATAAATAAGCAAGCTTTAAAGGAAAAAATTTAAGAAAGAACACACACAGATTTATCCTGGTTCACCGCACTTAGATACTTCAGTCCCCACATTTTGTGAGATTATCCAATTAATGATCAATATTTTTTACCTTTTTCTTACACCAACTCACCAAGATGTATTTTCTTTAGCCTCACTGGGCTTACAACATTGATTACAAAGCTTCGACTAGCTTACAGTATCACTCACAATCAACCTTTACTGGAGGATATACAAAGTATTAAAAATGATTTGTAAGAAGGATAAGATTTACAATTGCTCGGAAAATGATTATTAAGAGGATGTGGTTTTAATACAAACAGTTTTAGAAATAGAGATCCTAGATTCTAAGATTATGATTTTAGTGAGAATATCATTTTGGAAGAATATGATGAATTTTCTCTCTTGAACTCTTCTTGAGTGAATGTATTTTATCTCTTGATTTTTCCTTGAACAAATGTGTGATTTTAAGATAAGTATTATTAGAAAGGAATATCCGTGATTCTAAGGATATGATTTTAGTAAGAATATGATTTTTTGAAGAATTTCATGAATGTTTCTCTTGAGTTTTCCTTGATGTTTGTCTTAAAATGAAAAGAATGTGGATGATTATTTATAGAGGTTTTAATCCTCTAGTTTCTTGAGTACGATATATGTCTTAAGTATATACTTGAAATTACATGTCTACAATATGTATTTATGATTCTTCCATTGATAGTGTAAATAAGAAGATCATTAACTTACATAATTGTCATTGAAAGAAACTGATACTCATGTTGTGATTCTTGATACTCAACTTTTCATGTATTTATGAGACTCTCATTTGGTATTATTTAGTTGTTATAATTTAATCCTATAGGATAATTACAACTTTGCCATTTGTTCAAAAGTTATCCTCTTTAATAGTGTAGAATTACGATAATGTCATTGTGTGACTTTTTTTTTCTACACTTGGTATTTTGTGTTCCTTTCAAACATATTCTTTTATTTTCTTGTAATGAGCTTAATAATCAACTTGTGAACCATTTCTTCTCGCATCCCATTGATGATGACATTTATGCATACATGTCTTATTAATTTCCACTCAA